AAGACTGGAAACTGAGCAACTAAAACAGGGACATTCATCTTTCTGGTATGAAATTCACTGTTTACAATAAGCAATATCAAACGTATTCATCTCTATTTTTGTGACTTTACAAAAACTGTTGCATGCACTGTTACGACATGTTGATTTTTTCCTTAATTTAGCAATGTATGTGCCTGCAAGGGTGGGAGGCCAGGAAGTGAAGGTCAAGGGTTGGCATTTCGGTGAATATTAAGTAATTACTATTGGTGTGAGAGTATTTATTCCAGGCCGGTCATGTGACTTTTCTCAGTGCAATGCAAATCATGTTGATTTGGTGATTCAAACAGTTACTGCAATGAAATGAGTGCTGCCAATCTACAGTATGTAATATATACTGATTATGGCAACAATGCCAATAAAGACAAATCAGCAATTTGGTACTACTGTGCTTCCACATGAGCTCAAAGCATCACAGATCTTTAAGTCCCAAATATGTCTGCTAGTTCACAAAATGCAGGATTCTATACTTCCCATAATGCTCCATATTTTGTTAGACTCAGACTTCCATGTTAAAAATTTATAATTTCCAATCCTATGTGGGATAACTCTGATGTCAGTTTTCTCTCATACTTGACAAAGCTCCTCCAGAGACTTAAAAACATGTTCAAAACTGGTACTCCCAATGGCTGGTAAACTGATGGGTGAAACCAGTGTATCCCAGTATCTGCCACGTACCACTGCTTTCAGGCTACATGAAGGCGAAATTCCTACAACCAGTATTAGTATTCCTCACATCTTCCAGTGCAAATCATCAGAACTGGATTCTTAATTTGCAGAAAGTGTATTTTGAATTGCAACAGAGATACACCCCTGGCAGCAATGAACAACATTAGAATCACAAGAGTAATTGTTTTGGTCAATCTGTTAGTGGTGAGTCAGAACAAGTAATTTGTTATAGGAGAAAATATTCTCTAAATCTCTACAGATAGTTGTGTAAACAGAATTATGAAAGGTTATGCAACCACGTAACCAGCTTCAAGAGACTATTGCTCCACTCACAACTTTGGCAAAATGGGCTTTAATTAAGCATATGAGCAACTCCAACGAATGCCACTAATTAAAACAAAATTAGAACAACCACCAAAATGACATGACATGTTTTTTTAGTCCTAGTTTTAATTTACAAAAAATGCCAAACTGTAACTGCACATGTGGTTATTGGATGTATACTTGTCTTTGAACATTAAATGTATATCAATGTCTATTATTACCAGGCTTTCATATCTCAGGGAATGTGAGTTAATATTTTAAAAATCAATAAGCGTCATCTGCACTTGCAATGACTATTGCAAGTCAGCAAGCCCCAGACAACCATATCTGTTTAAGTGAAGTGAGCCATGTTTGCCAAATGATGTAACAATTTCACTTGTCATTGCAACTGCACAATGAAAACATCACGTTTTTCTTCTGACAATATAAGTGAGATTCGGTTTTGGTTTGTTTCTTGCTCCAGAGGATCACTAAATTGGTGGTTAAGGATAGTTCACCCACCATCAAATCACTGTAAATTCATCTGTTGTGCCTGCTGGAGAAATTCTGGCCAATGGCCTGTGAGAATAATGTAGTTGGGCTGATAACACCTGCTGTCAAGTTTTCCTGTGTGCCATACCGCATCTGCCCCTTCTTTCACAAATGTTGGGAGCTACAGAGTTAAGGAGCACTACAAAAAGCACCAGCACCAATCGCCTGAGACACCCAACAGTCACAATGCAATTATAATGCTGTTGTTAATCTGGCAGCCAGCAGGGTAAAAGGTAATAACAAGTCAAATAAAGCATCAAGGTAAGTGCATATAACTTGTGATCAAATACAGGGATTCAGTGTGTAAACATGATGATGACATGGGATAGTATGCATGCTCCATAACTTGTCAGTGATCCTATAAAGAATCTTGTGGCTTTAAAAACACTCTGATTAACATTACGGTGGCAGGTGAAGCCATGATTCATTGGCAGGGGGCCTTTACTGTAAATTGCACTGAGACAGTAAATCAGTACGGAAAATGACACTATACCCTACACCTCCTGAGAGACACCAGCTAATTTAAAATGCATCAGGGATACCATCTTTGTTTTAATTTAACATCAGGTATAAACCCTTACATATTTAAAAAGACAATCACTCCGGACTGGATTAGGAATTAAGAAGTACTGATGAATTACCAATGAGCTCTTTCATTATCTTGTATTTCATATTTCAAACAAGCTCCTAGAGTTTTTCTAATTTTCCATTCAGGTTTCAATGTTGTATTAGTATACATTTTTCAAGTGTGTTCTAGGTCTGGTTTATATTTATTTATATTTAACCTTTTTTCATATTGTCTGATCTATGTTTCTATGATACCAGACAAGAAAATGTGCAACCAGCATCAGAGAGACCTTTGAGAAAGAAAAAAACAAAACAATTGAGAGATGTGGCTCCTGTGGGTAATGTGATGACATTAAAACAAAATGACAGATGGCATCCAGCTTAAAAGAAAATGTATTTTCTCATTACAATCGAAAGCAGTGTAATCAATATTTGTAAAAATGAACAAGACTTAAGCAACCAACACTAATATGTGACCAGGGAGACAATATCTACAGCTCTTCTAATTATCTTTCTCTATTTTTAGGTCCCTTTCAATTAAACTCTTTTTTATAGTAGCTCCAACAAATTAAAAATCTCCCGCACACAATTACATGCATATCCTTTGAACATCACCTTTGGTATTACCAGTGTCATCAAAGACACGGATTCATTACCGGTGAAAATGTTACTTGCTCCATAAAGTATTGTTTGGTGACATCGGCGACTGTTATGATGTTTTTGAAAAAAAGATGTCTGCACTGTTCTTCACTGGTGTCATTACTGCCTATGGTCTTTTCTCATCATTTCATAGCAGGTGATCAGTTACATGGTTATTGTGTAGTAAAGGTCAACAAACATTTACTTATGGTGACTTTCAAAAGGGCAAGAAACATTAGGGATAGAGTTTTTAGAACATGCCAACTTAAACCAGTTACCCATAGTGGGCTCACAACTGCACCATGCAATTATAGGTGTGGAATATTAACTTTTAGTATACAGTCTTTTAATAACTTCAATATAACAAAAAAATGTACAGACTCTTACAAACATAACCTAAGCCCCTGCAGCCCTCTGCCTGTATTTTCCTATTTCACCATGTTCTGGATGTTTCTGGGTGTCAGTCGTTAGTCAGAGCACAGGGTGTGACTTCGGGACTCTATAAAAACTTCAGGTTACATCACTGTCTCTGTCCATCTCGATGTACCCTGTCTGTCTGGATGCATAACAATCTGCAGGTCTGTGTGTCAGCTGCATTCACACAAAATCTCTAAATATGACATCTTCCTGCAGGGTTGTGCAGATGTGTGGCAGTGTTTGTATGTGCTTTAGAATGTAACCACTGCAAAACAATCAGAAAATTGTTTTATTTCTCTGATTGTTTTATTCTTGCTAACCTCGCTCCCTCTCCTCATTCATTCTCTATATATCTCGACCAAAGGTGCTCTCTCTGACTTGCAAGGGAGGAGGGGCCAACTTTAAACGGTGCACTTATAAACAACAGACAAATCCCGTTTAGTGGCAGCTTTTTTCTTTTTCAGAAAAAAAGAGAAGCATTTAGATTTTTCAGTTGATTTCCAGGAGGCATAAATAAATACTTTTTAATTCATTTAAAGAGTTTTAAGTGTTGTCTTATAAGTTCTTAAATAATACTAAAATACTTCTTATATTCCATCTACTTTCCCATGGATGCATTTATGGTTATCATTAGGCACACCCCATGGCTCTGTACCAGTTCAGGAACGTGCTGGCTTGAAACCACATGACCATATACCAAAGTCATCATATACCTTTGTATGTGATTGGCTGTGTTTATTTTACTTTATTTTATTTAATAACTTAACTAACCTATTTAAATGTTCTTTGTGATCTGTGGAATGTGTTGTATGATGACCCTGATGGTGTTTTAAAGTTTGAATTTCTTGACTGCAACATCTGTAGTGAGTGTAATAATAGCTGACGATGCCTGGATATACTCAATAGTCATATGTAGAGTACCTTAAATAAACAGCATTGTCCAGTTATTTGTAATTTCTAGGCAATTTCTCCACATATGCACAGGAATCCCAACAGAGAGCAGAGCCGTAAAAAGTCTTTCCTGCCCAACTCTTTTCTATGCTTGACATATACACAGGACACATCAATGGGGACTTATTTCACTAGAGCAACCGACAATAACCTTTCTGACATTTTTAATATAACATTGCAGACGGGAGTAGAGGCAATCAAAGGAGGGCATCCAAACTGCAGCAGGCAGTGCTCTGAGCCCAAAATGTTACACTAAGTAAATGTGAAATTTTATTTTACTGTAGAAACACTAAGAAAGCACAAAAAACACTGCACACAGCTTACAAGGTCAGTGTTTCAAGTAAGAAAAATAGTAATTACATCATTTGGTAGCGTTTTTCTAACCCTTGATGTTGACAGTTTCTGAGACTGCTTGTAAAAGTCCTTTTGCTGATGTTTAATATTTTATACCTCTAAGCTTGCTTCATCTTGTTCATACCTCATCTCTGTCTTCCCCCTCCCTGCTTCCATTCTCATAATCTGTAGCCAACCAAGGATTACGCTGGCCTCTATTGTGTGGCCAGTAGACCGTCTGGCTCACACTGCTTCAGTAAAAACCCTATCTCCTGGCTGCACAGGATTTCTGGTCATAGCACAATGTTACACTCCCGCCAAGAAAAAGCTGGCTTTGTTGTGCATCGCATACTATTAAGCACAAGGTGTAATGCCGCAATCGCCTGGGGACAGGGTGGGTGTTTTTAGATATTTTTTTTAAGGCTGGGTATAAAGCTGGAAGCACCTCACAGGGTTTAAATTCTGCAATGAAGAAGAAAAGTGTAATGTTGCTACTTTTTGAGCATCTTTCTGTGAGTTTATTGTGAGCTGACCTTGATCAGACAGGAAGTCCAGCATGGTCTGCAGCAGGAAGGACAGGTGGCGAACAGACAGGCCGGGGTTGCCCATGCGACGGGAGGCGTACACCAGTTCATGTAGGAGGCGCATTTGAACTGCGGCCCAGCCTCGGTGGGTACCTGAGAGAGAGGTGGCAGAGACAAATTCACATTCACAAGGCTGACAAGGCTCATTGCTGACATCTAATGTTACACAGCTGTCATATCAGATTAGTACAGATGCATCAATCATCATTTGTATTTAATAATGCCAAAGTCATCATTTACCTTTTTTATTGATAAAGGATTGTTTTATTGACGAACATTAATGCTTGAGGTGGTCGAAAAAGTATGACAAACCTTCAGAAGTGTTTATTTGTCATACTTCACACAACCAAAGGCCATACATGATTAAATCAAACTGAAGTCTATTCACTGGAGCCATCTCTTAAAACTTAAGTATCCCCATTGCAGACAATCACATGGGCTCCAGCGTAGTGCTAACTTAGCTAGTGTTGTTTGCTCTGCAGAGCTCCACAAGACATCTTAATAGCATTCTAGCCTGACACCAACTGTTACATAAGACCATCAGCCCCCTACAAGATCCTCTTCTCCACTCCCAGCTGTCGTCTGTTGAGTCACTAAGTGGGAAAGAAAACTAGAGGAACGATGTGCTGGCGAGGCCGCGGGTTCCAGAGGGAGAAAAAGGAGGATATTTGGTACACACTATGATGTTTCCTTAGCTTAAATACCACTTCCAATAATGTCAAATCATTCCGGTGATGCTTTTCAGTTATCAGCATTTTTCTGCCGTGGTTATTATTCATCCTGACTTCTTCTGCCATCTGAACAAACTGTAAATGCAATTCCTTCATAAGCTTTTTTTTTCTGTCGTGAAACTGCACCCACTAAGCAGTCTAAAAATAGCTGACTTCCACCTGTCTGCCAAAACCAGCGCTTATCTGGAGAACAGTAATCCAAAGGACACTTTGGATTTTCTGAGAATGTCGCTCTCACTCGAACACGAAAAATGACTTCATTTGTGGTATTTTCAGACTTGAACTGGAGGTGGCTGGCAATCCATTTAACACACCACCAAGATAATGAGCGTGGTGCCACGGCCAAGCAGTCGCACTGTCATGCAAAACCTAACTCAAAAGGCACTGTACCTTCAGGCTGCCTCTGATGAAACTAGGGGAATTTTCTACTGTGCAGGGGTGATCAGACCACATATCAGGCCACATACCACCATTATTCTCCTAAATAATAAACATGTAAATTATTACATGAAAAGAAACTCCAAAAATGTGTGTGATGGCAAGATAACAGCTGTCTATGTAAGAGGAAGAAAGACTACAGACAGTGCCCCCATTTCTGGTACCAGAGGGGAGTAGTGAAGAAGTGTCTGCAAGCCACTCAAAAAGCCATTTGCTCCACTGTATCTCAGGGCACATCAACCTTATTGGAATGCACCATTGATCCCCATTTTCTTTCTCACTTCAACTTGCCACTCGAGCTTATTGCTTGATAAACTCCCACCTGATCCCTTCAGCAAAAGACGCACAACCATCATTCCTTGCCTTTCCCTCAGCACTGTGGGGACTCCGAGTGGATACTCCAACTTGAGCTGGGACGTATCAGTATGGAGAAATCATGTTACATTGCCTTACGGTCTGTTGTTGGAGCTCACCAGTTCCATGAATTAATGCTCTCCCTATTCATACCAGTGTGTCTACTTGTATAAGACATTTTTTAGTATAAGAAATTAAACTTTCCAACGTCTGGAATATTGGCTCAAAGACCCAGTGTGTAACATTTAGGAGGACTTATTGGCAGAAATGGAATAAAATATTCATACATATTTCTTCATAGTGTAAAATGAATTTTAAAATAAGAATCCTTCTCTTTTTGTTTAGAATGAGACGTTTTTATCTACAGAAGGAGCAGGTCCTATTCTAAGGTGTCCACCCTGTTACACCGCCATGGTTTCTCCTACATGCATGGAAGGCTGAACTGTATTCAAATGGTTGCAACCTGCAACTTCACCACTAGATTCCACTAAACCTTACACACTGGTCCTTTAAAGAACTGGTAAAAAATCTGTTCATTTTGATAAGAGTATGGTAAAAATATTGCAAAATTTTAATGATGAAATGGTCAACTATACATTTATTTATAGATCTTATGGACTCTGAGGAAATATTTCCAGTTCCAACTTTTCCGGACACCCATTTGCCGTTTTATAGTGTGATCTTACCAACACACTAAGTCTCTCCGGTCACATGTGTTATATAACTGAACCCATATTCCATCTTTCCCTAACATTTTACTTTTTAATGCCGATTCACTAATTAATTAGCCTTACTGTATTACTGGCCTTACAAAACAATATATCCAACAAAAATAAAGTACTGGAGGAGCTAGAAGTGCTCTTTTAGGGAATTCAATAATTGGGGTGTTGTACATGGACAATAGTAAACTAGATTTTTCATGCCAATATGCAGAGGAGGACTTTGTTTACAGCTGCACAAGATTTGGCTTTAGTTTTTACAAAAGATATAGAATTGCACCTGTAAATTAGGAGTCTATTGGTTGTAAAAGCTGAGACGTAAATGTGGGGAGATTACAGTTACCATGGGGAAATAAATAACCAATGTTTGAGAATTGTGTTGTTAACAAATGTATGTGAGGTGACATTAATCATTCCCTCCAGCAACAATTAACACAAATTCAACCTATCCCTGTGAATTCTGCACAACCTTGCAATTTTGTTTAATCACCGCAAACTTTACGCAAATTTGGCCAAATCATTGTAGTTTCCTGCGCAAATGCTGAGTCATACGTCAGCAAACTCACCCCCTTGGTTCTGACTGGGAAGACGGAGACCATACAGAGTATAACGTACAGTACAGTGATTGAATCGTCACTGGCCTTCAGTTTCTAATGAATTATACAGAAAATGCCTACAAACATGCATGTAATTTCTTTATAAAAAATGCAGTGAGACATTTCAGCCCGTAACAATCCCCAAAAAAGCCTGTGAAATCCTGGTAAGACTGGTGAATGCACACTAAGGCTGAGCAATTTTATCGATCCTGCGATATATATCGATATTTTGTTTCCCCAGAAAGTATCGATTTTTCAGCTGAGAGTATCGATACATTAAGTCCCATTCAAATCCCCTGTGTTCCGCCTGGCACTCTGCTCGCTGCCCATTTCCCCCCGTTTGCTTTGCAGGAAGAGCGATTAGGTCAGCCAGCCGCTAGTGTCGCTGTAGAGCATTTCTAGCAAGTTACCCGTCTAGATACTTCCTTTACACAGACACCGACATCTTCCTCTTCCTGTTTATGCAGTCAGAGTGAGGAGATTCAAGAGAATGGCGGCAAATATAAATCCAGCACCTTACTTAAAAGTAGATGTGTGGGAGCACTTCGGGTTTAAAAAGAAGAAGGAAAGCGACGATTTAGATAAAGGTCTGGCGGTTTGCAAGCTGTGTCACACAAACGTGAAATACTCTAGAAATACCACCAACCTCTTTGATTCATTTTGTCCAGCATTTGCAAGCTGTAGACTCTCTGTCCAGTCAGAGCCATATATTGTGTAATTGAGGCTTTCAGTTTTCAGTTCAATTAATTCAATTCAAGTCAATGGAACACTCACAAGATGTCACCAAAATCACACTGTCCCTTTAAAATCTTTCAGAAAATGATGTAAGTGTATCGAATCGTAGCGAATCATATCGTGACATATATCATATCGTGAGCTGAATATCGTGTATCGTGTATCGTATCGTATTGTGAGATTAGTGTATCGCTACAGCCCTAATGCACACTGTAAACTCACAAGTGTCATCAAAGTTGAGATTTGTGTTTAGAATAAAAACAAACAAACCAAATGAATGAAAAGTAAAATCCTCTTAATTGATTTTGTACCTATAATACGCAAGGCCCAGTGCATCAATAGTTAAGTGCTACTGGTGTGAAATACTATCTAAAAACAACCTTTCACAGTCAAAGTGCAAACATTTTACCTCAAACAATCATCAGCATGTTTCTATATAAAGTTTATAAAGGAAACAAGGCCAGAGTTTAACAGCGCATCAGAGAAAAATCCACTCAGTGTCACTTGAATAATGATCATAAGAGAAAATATGGACGTCCCTGAGCTTTTCAGTTCACTGTGAGCTCTGTCTTTTGTGTTGCCAACACTTGCCAATGAGCATAGGCTATAATGAGCAAGGGTCAATAGTCTATAGAACCAAGAGGCTTATCATGAGGACCTTACCAAAGAGTGTACAAAAGCCCAGGTCAGGTCTCAACTGTGTCTGTCTTTGAGCAAAGTGGTGGCTTGAATGTAGAACATCCTGAAGGAGCACTCTTAGAAAGACAGCAGAGCTGGAGGTGGAATGAGGCGATGCTTTTCATTTCCTTCATCTATTAAATATGTGTTTACACTGCTGACACACACACACACATTCTGCATCATTCAAGAGGGTACTGCTTTCAGTATTTGAAAAAGGTTAACTCTGGGAGATTTACTCTTTTTCACTCTCTTTTTGCTGATGAAAATCTGCACTACTTGCATTGGGACCCTTGAAAATAAATAAATAAAACTAACTGATAGGATGAGACTAATCCCTCTGTTCGACTTCTTCAACAAACAAAAGAACCTCTCTTCAGGATGAGAGTACAAATCTGATTAAGGTACTGATTTGTATTATATGTCAGACAATGATTCAATAGTTGTATAAATGTTTTGGGGAACTGACGGATCCAAAATGTGCCAGCAGGCTGGATTTATATGTAATATATTGGATTCACTGAATAAGCACAACAAAAGTTTTTTGGCCTCGATGAAAAACTCAATACATCCTGTTTCCTAAAACAATGACTATACAGTATATATACTTTCTAAACAATCGGCTCATCAAATATCAATTAAGAAAATGTGGTACTTTGGTGTGTAGAGTTCTCTCCAATGTATGAATTCTACAGTGAGAACGACAAACCTGCTGGTAGAAAACACACATTATGCTGTATGTTTTATGCCTATGTCCACTTTCGATTCTGAGAAAGGCAAAGCTGATGTTAAATTGCTGTGTGGTAAAAGGCTGGTGGAAGTTTCTCTTCTTTCAACAGCTCAGGGCCTTGTTTCCCAAAAGCATCTTAAAATAAAACTAAACTTCCAAGTTCTGTCATCATTGCCATCCTCTCCATCTTTTATTTTATATATTCATCTCTTCTGGTTTTGCTTTCAGGTTCGGTATATTCTCTTGTTGTTATTAATGGTGTTGTTGCAGTCACATGTTTAGATATAGCAGGTCTAATACAGAAATGATTCCATTCACAGTGGATGACCTTCATATTCCTGAAACATACAGGTAAGTAAGGTAAGGTAAGGTGAGCCTCCAGCAGCATCAATCAAAGTTCACTTTATAAACTGACTTCCTCCCAGGAACATGAATTATAAAGGGCAACAAGCTGGAAACTGTAGACTGTTTACTGCACAATAAGTTTTGTTTTCATAGAGAACAATTCTTAATATAATGCTTTCTTTGTGTTATGTGCTTTGTGATGTATGTATTTTGAATAAATATCAGAGCTGACAGACAGGTAAATAGGCAAAGTTTAGGGCACATGGTAGACCGCGCCCCATGTAGGCTGAGTCCTTACTGTAGCAGCCTGGGTTCAATGCCAACCTGTGGCCCTTTGCTGCATGCATGCCCCCCGATCATCATCAGAAAACAGGGCCCTTATATGTTTAATATTAGGTGCCTAAGGAAGACCCTTAAACACAACAGAGTTTTGATTATTCAATAGACTGACAAGGAATTGATTATCAAAATTGTTGCCAAATCCTGTTGTGCCAGTCAGTTGTCAAGCCAAAATACTAAATATTCTCTGGTACCAGCTTCTTAAATGTGAATAAAATTAGCTTTTTCTCTCATTTTAAGCTGAACATCTTTGAGTGTTGAACGGTTAAAACAAGTAATTTGAAGATTTCACCTTTGCCTCCAGGAAATTGTGCCTTTTACACTATTTTCTGAGGTTTTATCATCTATACACCTACAATACACCAATTAATTGAAAGATTACTGATAATGAAAGTATTTAGTTCCAGCCCTAAAACACAATACATCCAATATGTGAGAAGAATAGTTTGGAAATGAAACGTTCCTGTGTGATAGTGCGAAAAAGGTTGATAACAAACTTCTTATCAATAGATTTTCACATAATCACAAACATCCAGTACCTCCAAGTGTCCAAGCTTACCTTTGTTGAAGTCCTTGGGATCAAGTGACAGGCTGTATCCAGGCAACGTCTCCAGCAGCAGCTTGTAGCAGGCCCTCCAGCCAGGCTCTGGGATGGTGGGAGCCACACACTGCATGGCTGCAACACGCTTGAAAAATGCAGACTTGCGATGGAAGCCGATCAGTTCGTAGAGCTCAGACAGGATACTGTAGCGTTGGATCTTCTCCTCCTCTGATAGCTGCAGTTATGGAGACAACATTAAAGTCTTCCTTCACTCAAAAATGTGTTTTGCTTATCGTCTCTTCTTAAATCTCATTTTAACAGTAAGAGCAGGATTTAGTGACATCACAACTAGTTTGGAATGGTGCAAAATGCAAGTTACACAGTGCACATACACTGAGAATGGACCTTTCCGTAAAGTAAGTTAATGAACAATATTTGCATATTCATAGATTATGAAGAGTATTTTCATACATCTTTAAATATGTCTGGAGGGGATATTTAACCATCCAACCCTTGCTACCTGTTATGTGTGGGTTGTGACATCCTGCACATAAACCAAAGCCTAAAGTCTGAAAGACTGAAGCTTTAAGGGGCAATTTGGCTTGCAAACAGCAATCAATAGTAGTAAATATTAAATGCAATCAATAAAAATGTCAATCCATAAAATAAAACATACATTGACAAATCAGGGTTTTGCAGGTTTAACGAGTTAAATTTAAGACTTTTAAAAAATATTATGAATACATATTAAGACATATGTTATGTCCATACTAGCAAATAAAAACAATATGATGGATATGAAGAAAAACTGTATTGGTTCCATGTCGGCCTAGTTTTGTAGTTGTTACAGCGTGATCAATACAAATTCTTCTCACAAAAACACTGAAAAATGCCTGTCAAAATCATATTTAAAACATTTTAAAGGGGAACTTCGGCAGATTTTTACCCTAGTCTTGATTACCAGAGGTCACCGAGTACTGTCGATAGGAAAAAGAACGACCAGAATTGGTTCTAGCAAACTGGAGATCCTGCAGCTAATGGCCAGAGCTCCCAGTTAGTTATAATACACTTCTTGGGGGCATAAACTAAAGAGTGCCTTTTGCTCCTCTTAACAGACACAAAATGCAATTAAAATGTCTGTGCAACATGATCAGGGCCCTTACGTGACAACAACATGCCTTTTCAACTCATACGTTGTGCAGAAACCGTACAAAACAGTACTGTCGCCTACCTGTTTTTCCACCGCTCGCTTCACCGAAAGCCCAGAATAATCGATCGCGGAGATAATGCCTTCACGACGAAAAAAAGTTTATTTCCCCCTCAAAAATGTCAATGTCTTCACACACTGCTCTCCGATTTGCACACTTCCTGCAACAATCTCTTCTTCTGCGTTTCCCTGCAACAAGTGAAATCCCACGGGACTTCAGCCCGGACGGTGTGGAAGCCATCCACGGAGACAATCTGGTCCGTAATGTCCCTGTGCAGCCATGTCTCAGTGAAACACATCAGACTGCACTCACAGTACTCCGGGTGGCTCCGTGTCAGCGCCGTTAGCTCGTCCATTTTGTTGCTAAGGGACCCTCTCCATAAGCCCGTCTTGTCTCGACCCTCCTCTCATTCCCTGACGTTGCTTCCCTCCTCTGCATCCCCTGTGTGTTTTTCTCCAGAGATCAGGTGGTATATCAGCTGGTCTGGCCACTACACCGGCCGGCATTAGCAGGATCAGCTGTTCTCCGGAGTAAACAAAGGCGGTGGGTTCCGGTGGAAGGGGCATAATAAAAACAACATGTAGAAAAGCTATGTGCGCATGCACGAAAGTTTTTAACTTTCTTAACTTTTATTCTCTTTTGTTCGTTCTTGTTTCTTCACTGTAACTATGTGAAGACCTGTCCTCTCTAACGAGGTTGTTTTCAGAGAGTTTTCGTGCTTTTCTACGTGTTGCTTTTATTATGCCGCTTCCACCGGAACACGACGCCTTTGTTTACTAGGAACAAGTGCCTACACTTTCATCGTCTACCTTTCCATGAGATACTGCAGTTGTGGCTAGTTGTTCTTCAGCTGGATGTGCAAACTCCCATACAAGTACTATGCGAAAATGATCACCGCATTTGCAGCGAACATTTTGAGGAGGATGACTACAGAGACACAACACAGCGGGGCCGGCTGAAGAGAAATACCATTCCGAGGATGAAGACTGCTGCAACCACTGTTTAGGTAATGTTATATTCATAACTTCATTCAGCTTTGTTTTGGCAGACACGGCTTTAGAAGGGATGTGCGGCAACACATTTTTGAGGGGAAATAAACTTTTTTTCGTCACGAAGGCATTATCTCCTTGATCGCATAGTACTTGTATGGGAGTTTGCACATCCAGCTGAAGAACAACTAGCCACAACTGCAGTATCTCATGGTCATGGAAAGGTAGACGATGAAAGTGTAGGCACTTGTACCTTCTCATTCTGTTGCCACCATTTGGAAAGGCACAAACGCCAACCATTTCTTCTCCACAGTAGATCAACACACGTTATTCTTACTCCAAGCTTCTTCACTTGTAAACACCTCCGATCTCCACTCATTTCTTCTTCTGGGTTTACCTGCAACAAGAAATCCCACGGGACTTCAGCGCCAGAGCAGTCCCACGCTGAAGTGCCGTGGGATTTCACTTGTTGCAGGGAAACGCAGAGGAAGAGATTGTTGCAGGAAGTGTGCAAATCGGAGAGTAGTGTGTGAAGACATGGACTGCGTTTCATTAGTAGTTCCACTTCCCCTCGTTCACTTACCCTCAGCCCTTGGTATGACGTAACAGCATACGTCGCACAGAGGCCACTTGGAGCGCGGAGGGAAAGTGGGCGAGGCAGGAGCGGGGGATTTAAATTAAACGCACTTGCCCTTGGAGTCTACTCATTGGCAGCCGTCGGCGTTATAGCGCCAATGACGTAAACTGCAATGCATTGTGGGTGATATCAACCTCGGAGTGACCATCGTTGTTTACTCGCTCCCTCAGCCCTCCGAGGGTCCATCTCACCAAGTTCACTTCAGTTTTCCAGACAATTGGAACAACACTTATGATGGCGGCGGGGATTCCCCCGAGGGCAAGTGCCGAAGGCAAGTGAACGAGGGCGTTTTGAACGACTAATGAAACGCAGCCATGGACATTTTTGAGGGGGAAATAAACTTTTTTTCGTCGTGAAGGCATTATCTCCGTGATCGATTATTCTGGGCTTTCGGTGAAGCGAGCGGTACTGTTTTGTACGGTTTCTGCACAACGTATGAGTTGAAAAGGCATGTTGTTGTCACGTAAGGGCCCTGATCATGTTGCACAGACATTTTAATTGCATTTTGTGTCTGTCAAGAGGAACAAAAGGCACTCTTTAGTTTATGCCCCCAAGAAGTGTATTATAACTAACTGGGAGCTCTGGACATTAGCTGCAGGATCTCCAGTTTGCTAGAACCAATTCTGGTCGTTCTTTTTCCTATCGACAGTACTCGGTGACCTCTGGTAATCAAGACTAGGGTAAAAATCTGCCAAAGTTCCCCTTTAAGGCCTCAAATTCAGATAATTGGATTTTTTACTTTTTAAGAGCCCGTGGCCACCCTAGCAAAAAAACACAGGTTGGTACCACCATCACTGTTGTCATTGTCACATCTCACCAAAACCACCAGTGAAAGCAAAAGAAGAATACTTTGACTAGATTCCTCTATACTTACATTTGCACAGGTAAATAAACTTGCATCAGGCCTTCATGCAGTAATTATAATATCATAATATAATTTCAAGTATATCAGAATTTTAAATCAGAGAAAAAGTGGCTGTATTACTCAACTCAAGGGCAGTCCTGGAGGAAATTTCATTGGCTGCATAGGTCACACAAGTATTCTATTGTGCAAGACAAACCTCTTTTACTAAAGAAAGATAAAAAATACATTTATAGCTGTAATGACAAAGGGCTAAAATGTTGGGGCATAGATGAGATGAGATCTGTTTTAATGTGCTTTTCCCTAATAGTAAGACCCACGCAGTCACCCTGATTAAGCTCTGGTTGTGGTCATGTTAATCATCCTGTGAAACTGGAAAAGCATTTATTTCCAAGTCAGATAGCGTACCTGTCCCAGGTTGATGTAAACGGCGTTCTGCAAGAACTCGGAGGCCTCCCTGGCCCTCTTCTGAATGGCCAGCACCCTGACCGCTTTCACGCAGGCCTCCAGCTCGATCACTCCTGCATTCTTATACTGCGAGAGATAAGAGTAAAGGGGGGAGGCTCTGAGTTAATGAAAAATGAATAGTCAACGAGGGACGCCTTGACTTCTACAACCCACCTCATAATCAGAGGGAATGTTTTTTGATTAACACATGACCGCGCTCATCAGTCACTGCAGACGTGGGATGACAGACAAGTGGGATAAACTTGGATCTCCTGTTGCTGGTTTCTCAGGGATTCCCAACCAACTGCTCTATTTGTGCTTCCAACAAAAACCTGAGCTGCTGCCGCTGAGGCTTCACGCTGTGCGCACAGTGTGTGCGTTTTTTATCTCGCCGTCCCTCAACTTCCCACCACTTCCACCCTCATTGTCTCCTTATTAAAATTCAATTAATATCTGAATGGCTACGTGTTGAGATGTAATTTAATTCTGAATGAACTAGTTACAGGTAAAAGGGCTGAGGGAGGTCAGTGCAAAAAGGCAATTATAATAATGAAGATAAAGCACAGGGTTGCTTCTGAATAGTTTGGTAGCATAATGAGCCTATTCAGCTTTCCCTAAGCACTAGGGATACTTTAATACTATTCTTTGTGACTTTGTACAAGTATAGTGGTCAAAAGAGAGTACAAATATGTTCAGCTATGAGCAGATCCATATTGTATATTGTTTTGTCCGTCCAGCGCAGCTTTGTAAGAAGGTTAACACTGACAAATATGGTTCTATTCCCAGAGATTACACATGCACTCATGCCTGTTGTAAGACTTGTCCCCATGTAGCGTTCAGAAATAAACAGCTGCTGTCAGCATTTACTGGTCTGATACTACTCAAACACAGTGTTGTCGCTGCCTTCAAACGCCATCAAACCAGGTCAAATACTGCCCCCTGGTGAGGTGGATAAGTAATACTACACAGAAATGTATGGTAGTTCTGTAGCACTGTATCAAAGCAACCTGAAGGTAAACAATAGGACAATTAATCTAAAGCCAGACGGGCTATTACTACCTGGACACCAATCTTAATTTCATCTACAAATTCAGAGTCCAGTTCCTGAGATTGTTGGATGATGGTCAGACACTATGGCGTCTTTATCCTATCTAAAGAGATAAATATAAGGCTATAAGGCACCTATCTACATTAGAGAGCTACTGATTTCTCTACCTTGTCTGTGGCACTCAGCCCTAACCCTATTTGTTCCTACTGAAGATGTAAATCTTTCAAAACAAGGCAGGAATATAAACTTCAATCTTTAAAGAAGCAATTTTCAAGATGTTTTAAGACCTGTTTCACAGTCATACTGGCTAAAGTATGAAAGTATGATGGAAAATCAGTGAGGACTATGGGATATAACCTAATTATTTATCATTTGGTTATGTAAAAATGTTTCCAGTACTCCCCAGCAATATATAACAATAAATCCTAATGATATAATTAATTCAATTAATGGGACCTGGACCTGGATAAGTGGTATAAAATGGATGGATTAACCAATTAAAAATTATTCACTCAGTTAAATTCATTAAAGTTAAATCCACACATGCGCATTATGACTGGATGAGCTTCATGTGCTGCTGTAGCTGCATTGATGTCAGTGTTCGCTGCAGGTCAGATGTAGCTGACTGAAACTGTACCAAAAAGGATTAAACAGTCGCCTGCAGCACAAACTACTGTCCCACTCTTAGATTACAGGTGCATAATGTCTCTACGGCAAAAATGAAACTGAACACTTTCCAATACCTTCTAAAGTCCTGAAGAAAAGATTAGTAACATGTCACCTAGTGTGGCTCACTGATGTGTTTTAATAGTTTTTAGATAGCAACAGAGGATAAAATTAATTGTTGGCTTTAGTCTTGTTGACAATAAAAAGAGAAGAATATCTCCAGACTTACCTTTTAAGATCTACTTTAAAAGGCAACTTAAGATCAACGAGTTGCCTTTGTTTTGTTTTCTTTACTTTGACTGTATTTACTGCTCACTGTGCTTTTGTCATTTATTGTGAAGCACTTTGTGATGCCTGGCCTTGAAAAATGCAGAACAAATTTACTTTACTTACTAGACTCGAATTGAGTTAACTTCAAAAATCCTTATAAGCAGTCCTTCATACATTAAATGAGTATGAGGATAGTACTGAGCTTTGACTGATGTACTGAGTCAATACCAGCCTTTTATTAGAAATTCATTATCTGCCGGTCAGTGTTTGATAAGATGGATGCTGCAGTTTGTTACTGTATAGCTGATCAAATTGTCTATGTATGCACAAATACATCATTTACATAATGTCAATGTTCAGTGGACTCACTGAATGCTGTTTTGAAAAGCTATTTAAAAATAAATCTATTTAAAATCTGAGGAAAACTGTCTTTTATGTTAAAATCAGCCAGTTTAATGACACTGAATTTTGGCATAAGATATTATTAGTATTATCAGTTATTATCGGTCATATTATCATATTATCAGTCAGTATCTTTATATATTCAACAATGACATTGGTTGAATTCTTGATTAAAGAGTTGTGTAGTTTTTGATCAGTACCTTTCCGTAGTAGGAGATGGCCTCTTTGTACTTCTCAATAATGTCCTCAGGACTCAGGCAGTTCTTTGCTCGTCCAATCTCAGTGCTGGTGTCTGCACTAATGCCGTTGGCTGTGAGGGCACCTACACTCAAAACGGTATATGATTAGTTAAGAAAAGGCACGTTGATGAGCGTCCATCAGTCTGTTTCACCACAAAAGAAAAGGAAACAGCAGGAGTGAAAACAGAAGTAGGGGAACCTTAAATCCACCACTTACTATTTAAAGACAACGCTCTGGCTACCACCGCCACAATGTATATATATATATATATATATAAAAAAGACAGATGTATACAGTGTTCAAAATGTTGTTCACAGACCAGGATTGTTGACATATCTGAACAAATAACAACAGATAACACTGAGTGAAACTATGTGAAATGTGTTTATTCCTAGTTCTGATGCCTCCTGATCACCCCATTCAAATCAAATGTAAATGCTAAATCTAAACCACTATGCCCAGCTCTCCCTTACACCAGTACTAAGTGATCTCATGAATATCCAGAGTCACTGAGATGTGATCAAGATTATGTTCATGGCTAACGTCCCAGGCAGAGTTAAACTCGCACCTGAAATGTTTCAAAAAGCAATTGCAAGGTGCATCTCTCCACCAAATCTGATTAGAATACAAATACCAATTGAGAGTACATCGCCTAGCAACGGGGCTGTGTCCATAGCAACAGTGTGGTGCTGTCACTATGACAAACGTGTGAATAATGAGGTGCTGCATTGCACTACTTCTTCAGCCAATTTGCACATGTAAGATGACAAAGAGAAAAAATTTGAGGCAGTAATTGCACAGGGCAAATAAAGAACCATTTTTGAGACAATCACGTTACAGACTATGCATACACTATATGACTTATTATTTCTTAGGCTATGACATTGAGAGGTTAAGCAACAGTGCGCATTCAACAAGCAAATCAAAGTATACACCAATAGTGATGGACTGCCACCTGCTGGTGCTTAAACAAAGTTATGCAACCTTGCGTTCAAATAACTAAATATTCTAGGAACATTTAAAAAATATTTATTGATGGGGTAAAGTGATTTTTGTGTGATTATCAAGATGTGATTTGTTAGAATAATGGGGTCTCAATAAATAAGGAATAGAAGCAACTAAGAGTGTCCATTTAAAGGCAGAAGGAGTAGGATTTTCCTAAAAAACAATGTTTAGATTAATACAAATAATCTGTAGAGACCCTGTCCCGCCTGAGCGTCAACTTTTGGGCAGTCTGCAGGGTGTAAGGGCGGGAGGAGGGGCCAACTCAGAATGTTGTGTTTATAAATTGCAGCCAAAAAATCCTACTCATTCTGCCTTGAATGTCTTGGTCTTCAATCGTGTAGTCATGTGATGCTGATCACCAAAAGTGTGGCTGTGAGAAAGAGCAGGTAAATTAGAAAAAACAAACAAAAGGTGATGGTAAACCAACACAGGAGAACACTACCTGCCATAGGGGGAAAAGAACATCAATTTTCAAAGGATAAAATGAACCATATAGGAATCAGGGTGCTGATAATGTAAGACGAAAAATGACATCAAACACAGGGCAAATGTGACCACGAGCAAACAGGCAGACTGGTGACTAGAAGAGCTATGTTGGTTAAACATACCATACCTGGGTCAATGAGAACCTCCTGAGCCCCTACAGACAGAGAGAAAGAATGCAGATTCACTCCATGACGCAAGGCGCAATGTTAGTAGTGTTAGTCCCAACAATCTGCAGAATAGCTGCTGCCCTTCTCCTTTAAACTATGCTCATTACAGGCCATGATACACTTTTGGTATGCAATTTACTTTACAAAACAAAGTTAAAGGTTACCTGTGAACTTTCTGACCTCTGGTAGTGCTAAGGAGCAGTTTCAATATGAGTGGGTTCCAGTTTTATATGCACATGCTTGGCACGATAAACAGTTGAGCCAACGGTTTCGCACTATTACACTGATCAACAGGTGGCAGAAATCCTCCAAGATACACAGCAATGTGTAACAAAAAAGAAGAAGAGCGCTAGCTAGTTAACATGCACACAATGCAGGGGTCATACTTTTAAGAGAATTTAGTTTTGGAAATGTTTTATACGGAAGGAAATGCACTCGACATTTGTTGTTTGTTAGACCTCAAGGATGCAAATAATGTGTTTTAGTAAGTAAAGCTTAACATCACCTATGTTTATCATGAAAGAATACCAAACATATGGTGGTTACAGCTTCTGATCTAAAAATATTGGCTTTACATACTATAAAGTTTAAGGGGATGGTTCAGTGAAGTTGAACTGTATGAGCTAATTATCCATAGTCAGTGTGTTATCTACAGTAGACGGCGGTAAGCTTTAATATCTGATGGCAGCATAAATGGATATAATGCTTCAGTTTCCCGTCGGAAAGGGCTATCTGATGGCACGGTAGAGACGTGAAAATATTCTAAATATAGCGGACACATATTTTTGGGTACCATTTTGTTGCTGCCCACAGCAGTGCATTGCTTAGCTTTCATGCTGGTACTCCTGTCTGTGTCTCCAAACCATTTACTGTCTCAGACAACCCCACTTCAACAAACCCAAACTATCCCTTTAAGCTTAATCTTCAATCTTATCTCATTTCACACCAGTATAAATCAGTTTATAAATCTATAAACCTAATAATTAAACAATAATAATATTCTGTAAATTAATAAATTATCAATAATAATCATTCCCACCAACCCTCAATTACTCCTGTCCTTAGATATCATTCAAGCATCATAAAAGCAGCACTTTATCACAGTTTCTATTCCAACAGGCATAGGATGCTGCGCTGCTGATTGGCCAGTCAAGATTTATTTTTATAACACCATGTTAATAGCATGTTAATAACAGTAGACAGATTTAATGATGTTAAGTTTTAATTTAATTAGCAGTCATCAGGGTAAATCAGAGAAGCTTCAGCGTTTTAGGAAGCTAACATCTTGTACTCTGCACACAAAAAGAGCAGCTTAGCTGAGCAAAGCTTGGCGATGTTTGAGCTGACAGTCAGCAGGGACATTCTCACTCAATCACAGCTCACTCACAGACAACAGCCTTCAGCTACTGTCCTATTTAGACCACAGTTTCTATTAGTCTGCTTGCAGAGTGATGAGCTCACCTGGTCTGTGGCGTTTCCCTGCGTCTGCTGGCTGGGAGATGCTTGGCTTGCGTCCTACAGTCTTCCCTGCTGTGCCTCCAGGGTAGTGGAATATGACAGAGGCTGAACACAAACCCTCCAACGCAGCTAGAGAGCAAAAACAATAAAAAGACAAATGTTCTATACTTTCTCATTTTCTTTCCAAGCCTCTGAAGTATCATTAAAGTATGACCCTTGGTGTTTACACTGCATCAACTTTGGTGATATAAGACACTGAAACATTTTCTCACTACACTCACTACATGTCAGTAGGTAAGAGCATCCGCAAACTGCACAGAACAGAGAATGGACTGTAAGATAGACAATGCAGACTCAAACTAAGGAAATTCAAAGGTCCAAGATCAGTTAGCTGATACAACCCAGTGAGCACCAACTGGGACTTCAAGATTGATAACAAACCAAATGTCCCCGTTGTGGGATAATAAAGGATTATCTTATCTTATTGCTACCAGCTAAAATGCGGTTCCATCAATGTGTCACAAAACTCAGTTATAGGTTGACAGAGAGTCGATATTGATTAGTGTGAAGGAATAAGTCATATTCCAATGGTGTCAAAATGTGGGCTACACAAAGACGTCATTCCAACACACTTAATGTTTCATATAAAATGTCATCAATATTTAAATATATAGGCTATGTGCGGCTAACGAGAAACTTCCAGGACATTGTAATGGGACACGTTCTGTACATTAATGTACAATAAGAAGCTGTGCTCACTGCTGTATGTGCAAGGCATATTGGTTACAGCTTCAATAACCACCAGGTATATGCATTTGGACCGGGACTGGCAGCATTGCGAGTGCGTAGTCTCTCAGCATTAGAAAATCAAAGTATACAGTGTGGACGTATAGTATAAGAGTGTCAAAGTCCATTTCAAAGGCAGGATGCCGTGGTTGAGTGGGTAAAGCGTACTTCTCTCCCCAAGGACACTGTGATCTGACTCCCATACGGGTTGAGTTTTTTTTATATTTATACTTATTCAGATGTTGTTTCAGGCTCCAAAGTGAGGATAAGCTATTATTTACACATTGTAAAGAATTTCAAATCCTGGTTCTAAATGTGATCGTTCAATAAACGTCTTCAAATAGTCGTTGAAAAACGTTTGTTACGTCTTTTCAGCGGTGACCATAGTCATTTTTTTAATATCTTTTCAACTGAAAATTGTTCACTGGGAGAAGCCTGACCAATATATTGTCAAGGCCAATAATGCTTATCACAGATATACAGAAGTGTATGATGACCAATAAGTAGTAAGTTTATTTTTCAAATATAAAATCTACACACCTTTGTCACAATTCTCTAATAACCAGATAATAATAATCCTTTTTTTGTCGCAACGGTTTGGGTTAAAAAGGTAATCTCAAATATCAATATTGGTAATGGCCTCAAAAATCCAATATCGGCCAGACTCTAGCTGATACATTTCAGGGTTGACATTGAGAACTAAACCAATTCTAGCCTTGTAAATCCCAGCTTATAGTAATAATCCATCCTCCAGACTTACCACCCAGCCAGAGGAAGTCATTTACACCCCTGAGCAGCTCCACAGCCATGTGGTAGTGGACCAGGGCGTCCTGCAGCATGCCTGCCTGGAGACACAAGTCCCCAACGTGCTTCCTCATCCGTCCCTGGCAACGTTTCTTATAATGCCTGAGAGGAAGCAGCAGGAAAAGGGAGAAAAACTTGTTCAAACAACAGCAGGACGAATGAAGTGGCTTAGATTCTTGAAGAATCATGAATTGTTTTTGGCTTTTAGATTGATTTTGGTTGGGGATTCATATCATGGACTTTTTTTTTTAACAGCTCTGACTTTCTGCTATTGTCATTTCTTATGTCAGCAGGGTGCCAGCAGAGGAGACTCAAGTGAATCTTATCAGTCAGCTACAGAGGGGATGTATGGGGTGGGAAAGCAGAAGCAAAGGAGAACAGCTAAACAAGGACAGAGTATGAGCTGACCTACAGTGTCACCCTGTAGTCTTGCACAATAACACAGGGACTCAACAAGGAGCAGCTTCACCAGGATACAGGGGAAAGTTATGAACCCCATTGTGCAAGACATTTGAGCACTCTGAAAGACTGGGAAGGTCGTGTGAGAAAATACTGTGGTTCAGCAGGAATTTTCTTAGCTGTATACAGGGAGAGATCTAATACAATGTTTAACATTAAGAGCATTGAGCATTTTCCATAAATTTCTTAGCTGTATACAGGGAGAGATCTAAACATTTATTCTGGAAAAATCTATATCATTCATCTGGCAGATAAAAAATTCATGCTAATGCTCAGTGGGCTACTTCTGAACAACAATAAAAACTGTTCTGGCAGAGTAAAAGTAAAATGAAAAGCCTGCTCTTGAGGAGTCATGAAAAATTAAGCACAGCAATTAAACAGGATCTCTGGACATGGATGCCACTATCAAATTCATGTTTTTTATGAGTAGCTGCAATGCTATGCCAAGCTGGAAGGTAATGTATGCTCTCATGAATATAGATATGAGATCCATCGGGCCAGCTTCTCCAGCCAAACAGACTAAATCCCAAACTGCACCTTCCAAATCCAAATGTTCTCCTGAAGCTGGGACAGACCTCAGTAGCATGTACTGTGCCAAACAGTGTTCAGTGGGTCCAAACTATCAGCTCCTCCTTTAAAGAACCATACCCGAGTTTCTCCATGTTTCAGCACCTAAGCATTATATAGAACTACTACTTACTTGGAATCGCAAATAGGGATGGGACGATATACGATATTATCTGAATCATGATAAAAAAAACACCGTTATCGTGATAATCGAGACTATTCTCACATGGCTTGACTTGAAAAAGCTATCTGTCTTATATTGATTTCCTAATTTATTTTGAACAAGGGGACAAGGGAGAGCCTGCATCTTTCCAGTCATATCAAAATCCTAAGTCTGTCACCATGGCTGAAGGCTTGGCTTACCTTTTGTTTCCCCACAAAAAATTAAAACAGGAAAACGCTTCCAAAATAAAGAACAGGGAAACGAGGTGCAATCGATGCAATCTGTAATACAATAAATATGTTTCTTAATAAAACCTAAGGTAAAGGGATTATAGTGCCATTTTTAAAAGTATGAAGTATATTTTCATGATTATCATGATAATATTGTGTATCACAATTATCTTTGCCAAGATAATTGTGACATGAAATTTTCATATCGTCCCATGCCTGATCGCAAATACAATGTTTAACATTAAGGTTGAGCATTTTCCATAGCATGCGAGTGGTTTAGGAATGGTGAAGGTGGCCACTGGTTTCAGTTAATTTTGTAATAAAAAAAAAAAAAAAAGTAATCCAGCAGTTGGTCCATAAAGGATGGAACATCGTTGTCTAATCTTGGAAGTTTTTACTAAAATAAACTGCACATAACATTTAAGCATGCAAAAATGCATGTGTAGTTTAAATCTTAATGCAACATTTTATTTAACAAGTTTGTGAATTCCCAATAATTTCCTAATCATTTCTAGTTTCCTGAAAAGAACTATGTAAATTGGTGCTAATAAGGTGAAATAAAGTCAATTGTACCAAGTAATTGGTACATTTCCAATTCATTATTTCCAATTAACTGTAACCTAAACAGTCTTTTAGTCAGTGCACAGCAGTAAAAATGTACGTGTCCTCCTGCAACTGTAGAATTCAACATTCAACACGTACATGGAGAATTAAGTTTCCCATTACAAATGATTAATAAATGACAGTTTAGTAGGTTTTAATTGGAGTGTTTCTTTCGAGGAAACCTCCTTCGGAAGTTACTGGGAAATGAGGGACCCATAAAACAAAACACTATAAAGTTTATATCTCCTTCCCCTTAAAGCACGAATAAAAAATGTTTTACATATTTCCTGTTATTACAAAACACTTATTTTATCTTCTTTATTTATATTAAATAATACATAATATATGATAATCATTTCATTTTACGTATAAATATATTTTAATTAAAGTTTAAATTACTTGGTTTATTAACCTTATCAAATGTCATATGTGCAAATCAGCCCTTGCTTGCTCACAATATATAATTGCATCAGAGGATGTAACATACAGCAGCCAGGCTTAATAAGTTGGCTGCTGCTGCAAAAAAAAAATGTTGGGAAATCTGACGAGGAAGAACAAATAACAAGGAAACACTGACATTGTGAAAACAGTAATGGGAACTCAGCAGCCTCCTGCTTAAAAAAAGGTTCCTGTTTGGTGCTCGGCACGTCGAGGCTTCCCACCAGCACAGACTACACAAACTACTGCAATACAGCGGTAGAGTAACGTAAAACAACATGAAGACAGACAGAAATACAGAGATAGATAGGTGAAACCAGTGGCTGCCAAAAGGGGAGAAAGATTGGCAGTAATTCAAAATATATGATATGAAAAATACAGGTATGGTTCTTTAACTACCCTCTGACTCCACCATACAAATAATGTAACAATGTAAATGAGGTCACTGGGTCCCTGTGAACACTTTGTGGTCAGTTAAATGTACAGTTTTCTTTACTGTAAAACAAGATTGCTGATATAACATTTATGTTACAATATAGTGCAATGGACTGTAATGTAGTGCTGTCAATCAGGCCTCATTTACACTGCTATAATATCACTTAAGATGTGATGAGCCCAGGTTAATTCATAGGTAATTTAGGCCATCAGTAATTTTAGTAGATAGTGTTACTGTTGTAGAGAAGACTGCTTCTTCTTTTGCTAACCATGTTCATTTTATTTTAACAGCTATGGGAACATTTTTGGCTTTCAAAACAGTTTGTGTATCAATTGAAACCTGTGGAGGAGTGATGAGTTCAGCTTGGAGTCATGAGCAAATGCACAACAAACAGCACAGATGCCAGGGTGCTTCCTTCGGGACAGAGCTAAAGCTGATGGGATCGGGTATGGGTTTAACTAAACTAACGAGGTCTATCGTCTCACCTTTTCACACCCAACAATAAACTCACAGGACAGTATGAAAGAAAGAAAGAAAGACAAATAAACCAAGGTGAACAAACAAAAATGAACGCAGCAAAAATCAAAAGACAGATTTTTGAGAGGAGAATTTTAGAGCCGACAAGCCTGACATGTAACAAGCGACTTGACACAGAAACAAACACACACTAGCTTGCAAATAATGCACTATATCACTCTTACTGACTGCAATGAACATCCAAGCACTCCTTCACCAGCCTCTAAATGCTTAAGCGCTTTTGAAAAAGGAGGTTATGGTGCAGAGAATAGAACAACTCACCTGCTATCTGTGTCCAAACCCACAAAGTCCTTCTTCTCAAAGGGCACACAGAGCAGTGGTATCTTGTCACCTGACTTGTCCGTGGCGCGGTCCAGCCGCTTGGACTCCAGGACAATAAATATTGACTCCACAAAGTCCTCCACTCTCTTCTCCACATCAGAGCAGTCTTCGTAGCTGGGGTAGAAGGCCACGTCAGTACGCTGCTGCTCCGCAATGTCTCCCTGCAGCCCAAACACCAGCAACCGCGAATCATACAGCGTGGAGCTGTACACCTCCTTCTGGCCGTGGAAGCGCTCGGCAGTCTGGGGCCACTCCTTGGATGAGGCGCAGGTGGTGATGGCGATGAGGCCCACCACCTTGCGGTGCGTCTGGAAGTCTCCCCACTCGTTGTTTTCAGGCAGGTAGTGATGGCGGTAGCGGATGTAGAGGAGACGCTGTGAGTCCCTGATGCTCACCTGGCTCACACCGGCAATGCGTTTGTAGATCTTGAAGAACTGGTCCTCGGGTACGATGCCGACCGGCTGGACCACCACTAGTACCGTTTGGTGGTCCTCTGCACATTGCATGTAGTCTGGGACGCTCATCTTCACATGTGGCTTCATGGGACAGAAAAACAAAAACATCAGTTAGCATGCAATAACTTGTATGTGTTCACAGCACAAGACATATTTACAATGCTGTGAGCAGCTCAAATGACATTTTATTCATCTCTACTGTATTAGTGTTAATGGACACGATTTAGGGGTAAATATTTCAAAAACTAGTTACACCGAATAAAAAACAATCTGCATGGAAAATAGGGCTGCAGGATATGGGACAAATATAGTGATTGTGATATGACTGACAATTAGTGAGAGAATGATCATTTTTGCATCACAGATTTCATTTTCACTGACAAAAGTATTAAAATCATTAAGATGTTACATTTTTGGGACAGTACCAAACAAGATTTGCAGGCCAGGGCATCTCTGCAGCACTACAGTACAACGTACCATATAATGTTGTTCGTCACACATTTCACCTTTTATCAAAACATGCAGCTTTATTGCAATTTTGATAATATTGTGATTATTTGCCCAACCCTACGGGGGGAAAGATAATTAAAGTAGGTGAGAAAACTACTTCTATACTTTGGATGCACTCCTCTTTAAACAGTAAACACCTCAGGAAGAAGAGCAAAAGAATAGAGAGAGATACACACAGAAATATGAAAGTGTTTCAAGCACAGGTTGTGTCATAATTGTCTAAATGTATAGAGGAAAACCAGATATAAGTTAAAATGTACTGCCCTATATTTGTGTGAACAGGTTGTGCCATGAACATTGCCTGTTAATAAACACTAACAAACATCAGCTGTGTCTGTGTTCAGGGCTAACGTTACGTGTACTCTGACAGCTTCTCACATTTGAATGAAAACGTGCAGCTTGGATTCTCTGGTGTACACAGGAAGGAAAACTGGACCCCGGCGACTCCTGAATAGTCAAAAAGAGACGTTTCTAATTAACATTAAAAGCAACGTTACCTTTGACGAACAGCAAAGTAACACCTGCTGCTGTGTTTGCGGACATAAACAGCAAGCAATGGCAGCAAAAAGTGGCAGCTGACAAGTTTATGACAGGGGACACAGGCGACGAACACGAGGTATGTAACATAACAGAAGCTCTCTCGCCATTAGTTTTCATTTTGTTTATTTTATATGAGTAGAAACAGCTCACATTAAGGTATTACTGTCGTCTCCAAACACTTGGGCTAGCTAGCTTCGCTTAGCTAGCTATCCTTTGAATTGGCGGCTCATGACAGTCACACAGTAACAACGCTGACTGACATAATAAACGGGTCATTTATGCAAATATCAGCTCCGTCAGCTTGTAGTCTTTCACACCAATGCATTTAATATATAATGTTTACTCACATTACCTTAGCATTAACCTGTCAAGTTTCACAGCTTCCTTCTTTGGAGCAGTGTTTTGCAACACTCAATCAACAGCATGACTTCCGGTGAGCGATTTCAAAATAAAACTTTCGGAGCTAATTTAACTGCTATGGTTTGGTGAACTCAACAATGAATGTCTCTATCTAAGTCACCATCATATCCATGTTACAAATAGTTTTCCTAGAGACCACATCAACCCTATTTTGGATAAGGCCCTGTTGTAAGAAAACCTATTCTAAATATCAAGTATTAGTTAGCTCCAAAAAAGTTTTTGGCAACATTGCCTTGCTGCGTGCATAGCACACTGGGATAGGGAGAGGATACAACGATATCATTCCATCCAGTTAAGATGTTTATTATTTGCAACTCTGTGTTAAACATGACACGATTTTTTTCTTACTTCAATTTTGAAGCCTGAATCCTTGTTTCTTGAGTCAGCCCGTTAGCTTGACTATCGTCGGCTTCTTCCAGTTCTTCTTCTTCTGCAAAGGTGGAAGTCTAATAATACATCAGCGCCGCCTAAAGAACAAATGGGGTAGTGCAACTGAGCCAACCCTTACTCACTATATAAACTGTGCACTGTACTGTATATTGTATATTGTATATTATGTATATACCCCATTATTAATTACCTCATATTTGTCAATCATAATGAAACTACTTGAAACTTTAAATTTAAAGGTAACAAACTCGGGGTGTGTGTGTGTACAAAGGTAATGTCATATTATATCATTATACAGAAGTTATTGATAATAATGCCAATATACAAGGGTTCAGCACGCAATATTGCTTTGAATGTGCTGACACTTCAGATCCAGAGCAGTGTCAGTACTACGTGTGATCATGCTGGCAATCAGAATATTCCACTGACTTGCAAATTAGAACAGATCCTCGTGGATGAGCGAATGCCCCCACACTATCCTGTAAAATTCCTCATCCAAATGAGGACTATGAATAGAAAATCAAAGTTTTTGTGCACTCTATTTGAGCAAACATTTTACACATTAAAAGTTTTAGGTAGGTACCAGACAAATTCAAAAAATACAAGACAGTTAGATTCAACTGTTTTATTTTTTTCACCCATAAATCACTTTTCACAATCTTCTTGGAAGACAACAGCATTTTATTCCCTATTTTCTTCTTTTTTTTGGCCAAGGGGAATTGGTCCAAAAGCAAAGCAGGAGCTCAGAGAGACATGGAATGTCTAAAATATGGTTGAGAGTGAATATACACTGATAGCAGGCAAACATCTACAACCATCCACTTACAAAACAGTGCACAAACATTGTGTGTGAAGGCTGTCATTACTAGGATCCCAAACCATAACAACACAATCTTGAAAGCTGAGGGGGTTTGACGGGGGAAACTATGTTGTTCTCGATTTAAAAGAAAAGACATAAACATTATATTTCAACTGAGATCATTTAACAGAATGAATGCACATACGTAAAAGCACAAATAAGTGAAGCCTTCATTTTTCCCATGTGGTGAGTGTTCCCCAAGGTTAATAAGACTGAGTCAGGTCAAACACACCAGCTTTGACCTTAATGTCTGTGTTCAGAATGAGGCAGGGTTTCAGTGCATAGTCACATTACTGCATCTTCATGCCCAGGACAATCGGTGAAACTCTAACATAAAACAAACAAAGGAAAGAAAAGCTACGTGGTTGAAACCTAGAAGATTCACATCTTTCCAGTTATATCATTTACAATCTACATGAAATTCTTCCTTCTAAATGTTTGGTGTCTTCAGTCAACAATACAGAGCACCTATTGGTGCGAGGAACAAAGCTTTCAAGTTATACAGATTATGGAAAACGTGGAAGATGGCAGGAAGGTGTTAATACTACAGTGAATATCCACGTGCAGAAGCGCAATACAGATATACATTGGCACCAAATGTGACATTAAGAAATGTGTTCATCCTGCTCTTGCTCCACTGGATGCTAAAATTAAGCAGCTAACTACTGAAATGTTTTAGCACTGATTTTTTAAAGGAGTATACCAACCTTTTTAATAAGTTTGGCCCATTGGTGAACCAGTATAGCATACCTAATAAGTGAAATTAAACATGTTTTGATACTAAACACCAACAGGGGCGTAGCCAGGATTTTAGCAAAAATACTGAGGTTGCGAGTCCCATGTGAAACCTACGCCCCCCCCTCCCTTAGAAAAAGGTTGACCAAATGCCAAAAGTTTGTAAAATGGTCTGATTATTTGGATTTTTCATGTTTATATTATTTTACTTGTTAAAGTTATGCTTCCTGTCAATTCTATTTCTTCACACGAAGGTCTAAATGTTTCCACTCTGAATAAAACATTGGTAGAGAAATACTGAATCCTTTTTTTTGGCCTAATTTAACTACACAGATTACCAAAATCGGCCTATAAAATACCCCTGCTGATTTCTGAGGTTCCCCTTGGTGGTTGGATCATAAAAAACAGCGTGGCCGACGGCAGCGTACACTGATTTCATTGTCAACCACGTCCCCATATCAAAATTTATTCAAAAGTTACTGTTGATAGGGGAAATATTGCCAAAATACAGAATCTATTTATGTGCCTTTCATTATCTATAGGTTTCACCAACATATCAGCTGGTTATCTTTCTCTCTAACTTTTTCGACCACTAGTAGCCCTATGGAGCAACGTTTGAATGAGCGGGTCCCTGTTATATTGGTGTTGTGCACACAGGCGTTTAACACTCCTGCCACCAGTTTCACGATGTTCAGATCAACAGTTGGTGGCAGTGAAGAGTAGCGATGTGTTCAAAAAGACAAAGAGGAAGAAGACTGCAAGCTAGCAAACATGGATGTAAACTGATGCACGATTTTGCATGTGTAAGGAAGGATATGCACGCAACATCTCAAGAAAATGTGTTTTGTTGAGAATGTAAACATAACTTTTGTTAACAAAAAAAATGCCACAGTGTGGCATTTTTTGTGTAGTACTAGTTTCATGAAAGTATTTTCAATATTTGTCCAAATATACACTTTCTTGCCACTCTGGTGTCATTATCGCTGCCCTCAAAGTAGGTCGGAATAGCATTGGACTCCCAATGGTTTCCCATTTCAGAATCAACCCTCTTGTCGTAGCTTGCATAAGGTGACCAATGGACCACAATTACAAAAGGTTTTCTGGCGTCCTTTAGCTGCTATAATTCTCAATTAATTAGATTTAAGGACATTACAGTCCTGCTACTTCCGTGTGCATTTGCATCCATGTGAAGTACAAATAGTGTGCAGTCATGTACAACATGGGAACTTGAAGGCTACAGAAAAAGACGACATAGTAGTTAAGACTGAGTGATGAGGCTGTGTTTGGTCTGCAGAGGATCAGGAAGATTCTGGGTTGAATGTTGTCATCCAGTGGATTAGTTTAATCTCCAGCGATCATGTGGCCGCAGCCAAGATTAGTCGACCTAATTACAGCACATTTAGACACCCCATTGATTCCTAGTGGACTAGGAGGACTTAGTAACACTAGTCTGTCAGACGGGGAAACGTCTGAGAGAAATCAAAAGAAAGAACAGAAAAAAAACACATAAAAATAAAACAGATTAAGACTGATTAAGACTGATTTGGAGTCAAATGGTGCAGTAGGGGGAATGTGTGTCTTCTGATTAGTTGAATACGAGATATTTGGCATTCTTCATTATGGCATTGAAAGTGAGTGGACACTGTCGGTGGTGCAGAGAGAGACTGGGTAAAGGGCCTCCGTTAGGGCGCAGGGTGGGTGGGTAGGTGGTTGGGGGAACGGGGTTACGATGGACCACTACACGCCGCCCTCCTCACGCCAGTTTCAGAAATTGTTCCACTGTATCTGCTTCCACCGCCTCAGAAAACATTTCATAGTTCTGTGGAAAGCAAGAATGTCAGTCAGCAAACAAGAAAACAGAAAATCTAATGTGACAGCTGTCTCAGAATAGACCTTTTTCACAGCAGCCACTGACATGACGTAGTAGGGTAAACACAGGTGTTACCAATGATAGTAATTAAGGCTCCATTCCATTTAGCGTAGCAGAGCCTTTCCAGTGACAAACACAATAGCACCACCCTGACTGTGTCATGACCTGAATGGGAGCTGAATTAGTATCACTGATTATACCTGTGTTTACCCTACTATTTCATGTCAAAATGGCTGCTGTGAAAAAGGTCTTTTTGCAAAAACAGACAAAATCATGACCTATACTGAGGGCACACTGATGATGACCGGTATATGTAGCGTCAACACTAGTTTTGAATCATGCCTGATGTCATATTTATACCTGATTTTTGTTGGTCAGCAGAAACAAGTTGTAACAAAACACCAACATTTTCATCTTTTAAGTTGATATGGCAAACTTGTTAGCACACATTTGCTTATTTACACTTTCATCAGTTACGGAGCAACATTAGCATTCATTTGGAGCCATGTTTCTGTCCACCTGATGAATTAAGTCCAATATTTACTCTCTTTTAGCTCTGTTTTTGGTCACCTCTGAAAGAAAATATCTGGCTCTTTAGCAGCTAAAAGCTACACTATGGTAACCAGCTAGTAGCTAACATTAGCATATAGGGTTTTCCATATAGACTCCTTTAGCCTGTTGCACCAACTAGGAAGCATGTGTATGCCATTGACTAATTTTTAACCTAAAAAGAAATACACCATATAAAACCTTTATTTTCAATATCACTGCATGTAGCCTTTATAAAATGAATATGAAGAATTAGTTGCTTTCTCTTTTGCTATATGTACAGTTTCCATTTGTTGCTAGCATAGTTAGCTGTTCACTTCTGTAGCCTTTAACCAAAGTGAATATGCAGAGTAGCAAATAACAAATGTAAGAAACATATGTAAACATTAAATAAGCTAGCACAGTTAATGTAAGCTAGCAACAAACAGGCTGTGTGTATTTAACAATATATTGGTGAAGGTCTCGCCATTTGGAACATACCAAGCATATGAAGGACCAGAGAGTGGTTTGACATATTTCTATGAATGTCTTCATACTGTTCACTGTGAAAATCCCACTTTTCACGCCTACAGGTAGTGTTTGATATTAAAAATACAGATGTTTTTAGTGTCCAAACTACCACACATATTCTAAAATATATTTCTTATTGCAGCTGTCATTTAAGTTGATATACGAATATACCGGCAACTTAAAGTCATGTTTGCTGAAACTTTTACTATATCCTAAGATATAGCACAGAATCTGTGAAAAAAAAAAAAAAAACTTTTCTCTGGCTCCTCCAAGTGCTCCTAATGGCGCTTTGGGACCCAAAGAGTCAGTATTTGATGACCTGGAAATGAGACTCAGTCAACAATCAACTATCTATCTTTCTTGGCTCTGATTGGTTGTTTTCACTCAGGCCCGGTGGATTCTTGCTAATTCCATTAGGAGCACTAAGACGAGCCAGAGGAACCTAATTTTTTCACAGATTACCTGTTTCATGATTACCATTAGGATATAGTGAAAGTTTAAGCCAATATGACCAAAAGTAATTTTGTCTAAAAGTTACCTACTGCAGCTTTAAGTTCCAGTTAAAAACATACAGTAGCAGATTTAGTGATTTCATGACTACACTGCTGGAGAGTTGTTGTTTTTTGAAATAATGTTGCAGGTGTGTGTGCGCTCCTCACCCCACAGTATTGGTCTTCATTGAAAAGCTGGGGAGGGACTGCTGTGGGGTTCCCCGCTTTGCTTCTCATTTCGTCACGAAGCTCCCCGCCCACAGAGATGTCGACGAGCTCGTACTGGATGCTTTTACTATCAAGGATTCGTATCACTTCTGCCTGTTGAGACTTCACCTGGAAAACAACAGCGCTCATCAGAATTGTACTCAACCTCAGAATGACCACTATACACCAATTGATTAATTAAACACTGAGCCTATTATCTGCCATCAAGTTCCTGCATTTACTGACTACATTTCTAAGACCTAAGTGGTGCAAAAGACTGACTGCCGTCATGCAGTCTGCAGTTAAAGGTTTAGTCATTGTGATACATAATTAGCAGACAAAGGCCCTTAAACAACTTGGATAAACTGTTTAAATAAACCTTGTTATATTATTTATCATCAAGCAGAGAGCGATATACAATATTCACATTTTTCAAGGCATAGTGCTGAGGTAGAAAGAAACTATAAAATTGAAGTACTTTTTGAGGCTGTGCCTTTAAAAATCAGTGGCTTTATCTGGCTCCTGGATGATGATTAATAGAACTGTTGAGCACTCTGCTATCTTTTTGGGCGGCTGAGGAAGTTGGGAGGGGGTGATTGTAAAAGTGACCACACCTAAGCACAGCGCCAACTGGAAACACACAAGCTGGCATTTAGCTGGCCACACAGAGCTGTTGGGGGTGGGGGGGAAGCGGACTAGCAGTTAAAAGCTTTTCTGAATCGTGTGAAGAAGAAAAGTTGACAAGGTAACTACAACTGAACCCAGTGTTGTTAAAGGGAGCAATTACATCTGTAATATGACTTTCTGGTAAGATATTTAGGTCTGAGCCTAATGCTTACAATATCACACATTAAACTCCTTGATGTGTAATACAGGTTTAAACAGGTTGAATTTTAGACCTTTTAAGACCACTATGAATGCAATTTAACACCTATTTTAAGTCCATACTGGGTGCCCGGTTAGTTCAGTTGGTAAAGCTGGCGACCAATATACGGAGCTGCTACAGCGGCCCGGGTTCGAATCCGACCTGCAGCCCTTTGCTGCGTGTCATCCCCCCTCTCTCTCCACCCACCTTTCCTGTCTCTCTACAGCTGTCACTATTAATAAAGCCAACAAAAGGCCAAAAAGATAACATTAAAAAAAAAGAAAAGAGAAAAAAAAGTCCATACTAGCTATATAAATAGCGAAGGATATGAAGGAAAATAGATATTGGTTCCATGTCGTTTTCATTATGAAGTTGTCACAGCATGATCAATACAAGTTTTTCCCTAAAAAAAAAAAGCAAGACTGAAAAATTATTAAAAACCTTATTGCAAGTAATTTCATTAATCCAATACATTTTTAAGGCCTGTCAAAATTTTATGACCTAAAATTCAGATTATTATTTTGATTTTAGACGATTTAAGACCCCGTGGACACACTGTAGTAACCTTGCAGAACAATTCTTAAGATGTATAAGGAGAGCAAACAAATGTACACATCATTATAAAAGTGCATAGCACAAAGGGGATTATATTTTAATGGGATTGCTCTAGCATGTTTTCATTTTGTAACAGAAAGGGGGTTTTTGCTATGGTCTAAATAAAGTCTTAATAGTATACATTAGAATAGTTCATAATTATTTATTTTTTTACTGGCTACTATTAACTAATGTTAATCCATAAAAAGCAAATGTGGGATTAATTCCAGTCATTTAAAACACACCTTTAACCATGTGCAAAATGGGAGAGAAATGCTTTGAAAGGATAAACTGATTGGAGGAGGGAATAAAATGGATATGCAGCAGGTGTTGAAGCCAGCAGAAAGACTGGGTGTCAGTGGCATCCAACGTTCTTTTTTTTTTTTTTAAAAAAAAAAAATTTAATTGGGTGGGTGAATTTATTATTTTTATTAAAATTTTAAAAAAATATAATTTTTTTTTTTTTTTTTATTTTTTTTTAATAAAAAATATTTTTTTTTTTTGTTGTTTTTTTTTTAAAAATTTTTTTTAAAACCAAAAATAATCCTACAAAGGATGTGTTTTACAACATCAGATTATTGGTGTCTGCAGACAGTCTGGATGTCAACCTGTTCCACTGGATTCATCCTAATATATTCAAACAATATGCAGCAAAACTTCATTACAAAGTCATACTATTTGTAATGAAGCCAACGTATCAACTAACACGTACATCAAATGATACAAACATCTGACTTTTCCGGATTACAGGGTGTAGTGGTCAATTCGGCTCACATATAAACTACCAGGCAGCTCTTACTTCATTAACTTTTCAGGTTTTATTCCTGGTTCCCATGCTCTCTTGTCACTATCCTAGGCTACAACAATTAGTACAAGAAGATTGAGTAGCAGGTGTACCACTTATAAAAGATGACATTTTAAAACACATGTCGTTCAGTCCATCTGGTGTATGCAAAACAGGGCCCTAACATTACAATGTATATTTGCCATTAAGCAAAGCAGCCTTAAATTGCAAGATTTTTGCATGAAGTTTGGCGTACAGTTCTCGATACAGGAAACGGACACATATGGTCGCTATACTTCCGGCCACCCTTATGTACCAGAATGAATGTATATAGTGTCACTGTTTGGGATAGCTAATACGGTTCATATTCTGAGGAAACACTTCAGCAAAAATGGCTAGCCAAACACAGCCTTCCCACTACCAGGATAGAGGAGAGGAGGTGGAACCACGCACCACGGCTCGTCTTTACAAGTCCTTTATGTTTAGCTCCATTTACGACTGATAACTTTCATCTCCCTTACGCCTACGACCTGGTAATGCTGACGTTCCAGTCCTGATAGAAATGGGCGCTGAGTAGCATAGGCCCAGTGCACTGTTAGTCAGGAGGAAGCTATTACTGATAGGGTGCTGGGTGTGTCTGTTGGACTCACAGCATTGTTAGCTGCAGCCACCGGAGCCCCGGACACAAACATCACGCTAAGTTCGTTCAATTACGGTCACTTGACTCACCGTCCGAGAGGCAGTAACGGTGGTGTAGTACAGTTTGATTCCCATTGCTGCAGGTCCTTCCACTCCCTTTGTGTATCTGCTTGCGAGGAGCTTTCTCTCGCGTCCGTCAAGCTGAACAGTTATCGAAGGTAAGGAAGCTTGGCGACGGCGCTTTCAAAATAAAAGACTTACATTTTCACATTAAAGTTTAAATGAGTATAAAAAGTTTACTTCTACTTTTCAGTGATAGATTTTTGCAAAAGTCAAACCTAAAGGAAAGACAGTAAGCAGAAAACATGGACATGAAAGTTATTTGATTGTGTGGTCTAAAAAGTTTGCTGTGTGCAACTTGTATCTACTATTACTGAAATCTCATTAAAGTGGCCCATGGCTGGACTAACCTGCTAGAGGGCCATGGGATGGCTCCAATTAAAGGATAGGCTAGGTCAGTGATTCCCAACCTAGGGTCTGAACCCCCACTAGGGGTCGGCAAAGCTTCACGGGGGGTCACAAGGCCTTCTTGATTTTGAGGGGTGAAAGAAAACTACATCTCAGCATTGTGTTAACTTCTTTGAAGAAAAGTAAATTGTTGACCATTGACAAGAAAAACAAAAAAGAAACCTATTAAGTCTGTATGACTATTGAAAAATTATTTTAAAAAATTTAAAAAACGTAATACAGACAGAATTGTATAAAATGTTCCCTAAACAGTTAATAATCTACTCAAAATTAATCAAAGTTACTCCTTTTACACAAACTCCTTGCCGTTACTGAGTTTTGAACATAATATAATTTAATCACTTAGTCAGGGGTCATCAGTTTACTAAATGATAGAAAAAGGGATCCCTTAAGGAAAAAGGTTGGAAATCACTGGGCTGGGTTTATATGTAGATGTGTCTAAATATTCACATACCCATTATGTAGGTTTGACCCCAAAAACTCAATGATTGGAATCATCAGTTGAGAATCTCTGCACTTTTGTTTTTTTTTATCTCCATCAATGGTACACTGGGATATTATAATGGAACTATGAGCAGGACACACACTTCTACTTTCTCCGACTGTGTGGGAATCTTTTCATATCACAGATGACAAAGAAAGGCATAAAACAAGAGGAAGGCTATAGCATGAGGAACCGCAGGGCTGAACTGACAAAAAAAGGAACGAATAGTCAAATCTGATTCAACTGACAAAATTCTGAGTTGGGTACAGCCCTACCTGTATGTATACTGAAGGAGTTATTGGTAATTTGGTGGCTCCAATCAGATAAACACAATTCCACGGTAAGCTGTGGGGGATCAAATCCACAGTCCTTGTTCTGTTAGGCAGCTTTTTGCTTCCCTGCCATACAATGTTCTCGTTCTGAGCCACAGTGGAGGGCTATTTTTTGCCTTTTTTATTACAGAGACAGTAAAGAGGCAGTCAGGAGACGGCCCCTATCGTGTCAGTTGACATTTTGGCGGATAAAACAGGCAATCTGAAGATCTGACATTTTCTGAGAAACAGTAAATGTTTAATATTGGAAACAACAGGAAATGATTCGTTGTATTCTGGTAAACTTGACTCCACTCTGCCTCAATACATAGGATGCCTCTTGCTGCACAGTTTAAAGAGACAGTGCACAACTTTATTCATATTTTCCTTTGCTGCTTTTTGAATTTATATCCCATTTATGCCTCAATCAGTAATATTTTACTTTACAGAAATGACAGCAATCTTTTTATGTCTCTTGTCAACTCTTCATTCCTTCCTCTCATACTTTCTCTTATTTTCTTTCTTAATTTTCTCCTCATGAGACCCTTCTCCTCTTTCTTCCCTCTCTACCTCAGTTTCTCTGTTAAGCTTCATCCATCTTTCAGGGAATTCCAGACAATCACACACACACACACACACACACACACACACACACACACACACACACACACACACACACACACACACACACACACAGTGTTTGGTCTCTTATAGGTAACCGTATCTGGCTTATCTCAACTGATTCATTGCACACTGCCAAAGTTGTCTATAGGGTTGTGTGTGTGTGTGTGTGTGTGTGTGTGTGTGTGTGTGTGTGTGTGTGTGTGTGTGTGTGTGTGTGTGTGTGTGTGTGGTGTGTGTGTTGTTATTGTGGATGGTTTACTTCTAGAAATTGTAGAGATAAACATCTCCATTTAAGTCAAGAACAGATTATTTACTTATTTATTTGTAACACCAGGAAGCTTCTTCTGTTGCTTTTGTTCACAGTGAAACTCACAAAGTAAATGTTGCACATTAGCACAAACATTTCTAAGCCAGCCAGTGTCCATCTGTCCTTGTCCCCATACAAAGTCTGTCTGCTGTCACAATGAACACAACATTGGAAGTTGTACTCACAGATCCAGGCTGGAATTAACTCCCTGCTGTAAAAACATATCAGCCCTGATCATGAGGTATTTATGAATTCCTGCCTACAAAACTGCCTATGCAGCTGGCAGGCTCATTGCTCATGAAACAAACCTGTATGATATATGGAAAACTCTTTTGTGCATGTAAAAAAAAAAAAAAGGTGTTTCACAAGAAATGCTATATAACACAGTTTGAGATGGTACACGTGCTGGAAAGTACATTTGATTTTGGAAACATGTTCAACAGCACTGTGTGCTGCTGTAGCTGTGCTCCCCCTCTCCTGTTGTCCCTACATAGACTACAGTCCTTCATTATTGGTCTATCCTGTTTGACAGTTACCTTTCTTGCATACTGATCTTTTCTCCCAATTTGGGTCCTAATTCTGCAATTCCTAATTAGCAGCTGTGTAGATCAGACAGTCAGTACTGCAGTACCATAGGGCTTATTTTGACAAAAGTGATGACTACACCTAACAGGACTTTTTTAACCAGCAGAATTTGTCCACAGGCTGCATGCTCCGATGTTGTCTGCAACAAATGCCTCTGGAGAATGAATCCACTGGGGCACAGGAAGCCTTCATTCTTCCTACAAGGTTTAGTGTTCCAGGCTGGCAGCCACATCATCACTAAGCAGCACCACACACAGCGAGCCTTGCAGTGTGTGTGTGTGTGTGTGTGTGTGTGTGTGTGTCTGTGTGTCTGTGTCTGTGTGTCTGTGTGTCTGTGTGTCTGTGTGTCTGTGTGTGTGTGTGTGTGTGTGTGTGTGTGTGTGTCTGTGTGTCTGTGTGTCTGTGTGTGTGTGTGTGTGTGTGTGTCTGTGTGTCTGTGTGTCTGTGTGTCTGTGTGTGTGTGTGTGTGTGTGTGTCTGTGTGTGTGTGTGTGTCTGTGTGTCTGTGTGTCTGTGTGTGTGTGTGTGTGTCTGTGTGTGTGTGTGTGTCTGTGTGTGGCCAGAAGTATAACAGTGAGAGGCAGTCTTCACTACTAAGTACCTGATAGTTCAGGGATGCAACAGAATATTTCTAAGAATAGTTTTGATGCTCCAATTCTGTCTCTGGACATATTCTCTTGATTGTGTCTTCGCAGCCTCCTGCTGACTCTGTCTCATTCCAGGGTGTGTGACAAGACTACAGCCGTGATAGCAGCTCTGTGAGGCTGTATTTATTGTAGGCACACCAGTGCTTTGAAGTAAATGCAAACGGCAGCATGCTAACATGCTCAAATTGACTACGTTCACCATCTAAACACAAAGTAGGCCTGTGAGTGCTGAAGCTGATGGGAATGTCATTAGTTAATTTATCTTAAACCAAAGTATTGGACATTATGAAATTCTGACTTTTGAAAAGTTAAGGGATCACTCAAGTGATTACAATTCATCCTGAAGGGAACAATGACTGTGTGTACCAATTTCTGTGGTAATCAACCCAACAGTTGTCGAGAGATTGTATTCAAAACCATAAATTCAACTCCATGGTGGCACTAGAGAAAAGGTCAAGAGATCAACAAAGTCAGTAGGATACATCAATGAATGTCTGAAGATTTTGTGCCAATCCATCCAGTAGATGTTGAAATGTTTCCAGAGGCAGATCAAGATGGGTTACATTGGGTGGTAGTGCTCCCCTAAGAAATGCTTGGCCACCCTGGCTGCCTGCCATGCTGTCAAATTTAACAAATTAATTTAGATTAATTTTAAAAATAATGTGTTAAATAAAGGAAATTAGCACATCATTTAATGATCTGTTATGACCACATTTTAGACTAAGATAGGCTTAAGGTAAATGAGAAAGAAACAAACAAATTATTGATTTCTAATACCATCTTTTGATATTTCTTTAAATATGTTCATTAAGGAGCTTTTCCAATCAAATATTGATATATGTGATAGTTTGCAATTAAATCAGCATATATTTCTGTCTGCATGAATAGTTCCCTAGATTCACCCCATCACTAAGGATCTCTAAGGTCATTAGGATTCATCCTTTAGGCACCATGTGTATTGCTACCACATTTCATACTACTACTTACTAATACTTGTCAAGATATGCTGCCAGTAGAGGAGTAAGAAAAGTCAGGGGATCACCAAAGTCAGTAAGCCTCATCGTCTGGGAACCATGAATGTCTGTGAAATATGCATGCAATAGTTGATTAGATATTTCAGTCTGTAAAATGTCAGACTAACATACAGACAGTTTGGCACTGCCATGCCTAGAACCATGCTGTTTAGTCCATTGATGACAGCTAATAGCATCAATTACAAATCTGCCCTTTATCATAAGCTCCTCTGAAATTCAGGAAATTAAGCAAAAACTTTGAAAAAAAAGAAGTTTTTAGCAGTTCTCCTTCCGAAGTACCCTTCAGTGGGAGGGACACATAATAAGGGTTTAGTGTTTCTCAAGGAAACTTCTACTTAGGTGACGGCTGCCAAAGGGATTCAGTCTGGAATAGTCCAGTTCTAACACGTTCTGTCTAACCACTGGACCACCCAGCAACAGCACCAAGTTGAAATTATCCAGATTCCCCAAATTGTACGCATCTATGACGTTTGTGTTTTAGAGGACGTCATACTCAAAGCAGCTGTGTATTGTTCTTGCTATAATGCTGTGAGTATTTCGAGCCCTATTACGTCTAATGAGCAAATTTCATTTGGAACTTATCACAAGGAAAGCATGCTGGCCCCTTCTATTGTGAGTCAGACAGGAGGAATGTGGGAGAGAGTCCAGCAGTGCCATGATTCAGCTGATTCAGGGTTTTAGGTGAATAACTGAGCCGTGCAGCATGGACCAGTACACACCA